ACATCCACATTCAAGTATCCATTTAAAGCCTTATACAAAAATGTGACATCAAAAAGATAGCGCCTCTTTTCAAGCGAAAGCAGATTAAGACATTTCAGGTGCTCGTCATAGGTAAAATTCCATTTTCTGAGAATAAATTTTGTTCCCCTCTGCTGTATGCGCTCAGGAAATATATGTTATATATTTCCTGTTTATTATATGGCTGTGTCTCACAAGGACTGGGAACTATCGAATTCAAGAATTCAATTGGCTGAAATCAATTTTGAAAACGGTCTAGATTTTCCCAACTAGACCGGCATCTAGACCGGTAATGTTTTGCGGTGAAAAAGTTGCAAACTTTAATCCAAAAATGTTGACTATTTTCTGCTAACAATATTTACTTATGGCAATGCCAAAAAGTCTGATAAGAAAAGAAAAGAAAAGTAAAGAGGACAAGCAGACTGAATAAAATCAAAATCAAAATTTTGCAACACTCTTTCGTTTCTCATTATCCATGGGAAATTTTATGATAATCCGTCAAATCTGCATACCCTATAAATTCGCTCAAAGTGGATGTATTCCTCCCAAAATTAAATGTGAGATTTTAGCTCGTAAAGGTTCGTAAACAACTTGCGCCACGCCAGGAGATTATCTCGCCTTACGAAACCACAAACCAATGGAACAATAGTACCTCCTAGCATCAGTGACAATGGATCAGGATTTCCTGGGAAAAGCATCACATTGCAACACGTTTTCTATCTCGCTGTCGCATTGAGGAGAAACAGACTAAAACGGGCAAAGTAGCCAAAGGCAAAAGAACAATCTGCGGCAAGACAAGTAAAGCCAGCAAAAGTACCGATAAGCATGACAATGAATCAAAGTACAGACAGCTCAGGCAGACTGCTTAATTAAAGAGTCTTTGTGGCTTTCAGAGAGGTGTTTCTGTATTCTTTCCTACACAGAAATGGGTCCTTTCTTTTTTCTTTGGGCTTGTTTGTTTCTTTTCCTCGGTCCAAGGGTGCTTTTCTGTTTTGAATTTTTCACTCGGGAGTAAGCAGAAAGGGCTTGTAATTGCAAATGTTGTCAAGTGTGCGATGTAAACAATATCAAATAACATGAAACACAAGCTCCAAGATAAGCATTTGCCACGAAAATTCATCCATTTACGTGATTATGACACCTTGGTTTATTTACTTTAGTATAAATGTACTAGTGTTCTATGACAAATGCCGTTCTCTTATTGGCTATGCTACTCACTATCTATTCTGTTAAATACATAGTGAGTAGCGTAGCAGTGTGCGCTTGTTAACAAAATGATGGCCGCTTCTTTGCATTTTCGATGTGTCTGTGAAGAGGATTTAGACAAAGTTTTGAATGACTAGTAGATTTATACTAAAATCATTAGATTATTTGCCCTTGATTTCTATGCATGATAATTGAATTGGGCTGTGCCCTTGTCAACTATCACACAATAGAAATCTTGAGCTCACAATCTAATTGTTTAATAGAAACACGGTTTTAAACCAATCAGCACGCGTACTTGTTTTGGGTTATTTTCTAATGTTATACAAATAGTACTTGAGACACCCAAAGTCAAGAGAGGGTGTTTGGGGGATGGAAATTTGACCAACTGAAAAGTCAAACTGTCTAATGCCTGGGAAGGGGTGGGAGGAGTTGGGGGAGGAGGGGAGGAGGGCAATGTTGAATCAACCTTGTCATACAACATACATCATTCAGCTACATCCTATTCATTGTTAATACTACATTTATCATTTTTGAACAACTTCCCCAACAGGATCTGATCATCTTCCCTGATGATATTGAATACAAACGCGTCAAACAGTGCACAACAGGCAGGGCCTATATCTTGAAGTTCAAGTCATCCACACGGAAGTTCTTTTTTTGGATGCAAGAACCCAAAACGGACAAAGATGATGAGTATACCACCAAAGTGAACAACTTGCTTAACAACCCTCCCACTCCGGGCTCAGGAGGTGGTGGTAGCAGTGGGCTCCCCCCAGCCTTAGCTGGATTATCTGAGCAGTTAGGTGAGCACTGTATATTATTTTTTGGAATCTATGGATTCCTGCAGTAAAGGTAAAATCTGTGTCAGGTCAAACAGCTCTCACAGCTGGAGCTTATCCCCGTTTCTGTAGCTTTAAGCAACTAAGAGTATTTCTATTCCCCCTGGATGGGATGTTAGTCTGTGGGAAGGTTACCCCAGCATAACTTCACCAATACCCATTTATACACCTCTAGCATTAGTTCCACTTTAACTAAAACTAAAAAGGCCTGGAACCAGCAGAAGAGAGCCATGTCTATCAATCTAACACTTGAAAAATGTTTAGACCCATACAGGAAGTATTGCTAAATATTAAATATTGTTTACCAGGTGATAGTCAGCTGCAAGGCCTGTTGGGTAATTTGGATCAACAGCAGCTGTTACAGTTATTGAGTGGTTATGGTGGACTGGGTGGCCATGGTGGTCTGTCTAGTGCTGGCAGCTCCATAAGTGCACCTACTGCGGGTTCACCTACGTAAGTACATGAATTGTGGTGGAAATGTATTGAATGTGAGGTATGCATACGTGTTAGTCAAGAATGAACATGTTCAAATAAAAATGATCTACTTAAGGTTGTGTGCTGAGAGGCATTGTGGCAGAAAAAGGCAATGGAACTCAAGGGATAGTGGTGCAAAATGAAAACTGATCAAATCAAAATTGTAGCCCCACATAAAACGTTTTATGAAAAACTGGATCATTGGATAATGCAGTTTGAGCTTTTTCATTGGCTTAGAATCCATCATGGGTTATGAGCCATTATACCATGCTCTATAAATATGGTAAACATGGACACATGATTTTTTGGGGGCATTTTTATTTTTATTTTAGTCTAGTTTTCTATATTTTACGAAAAGAAGCGGTTTTTTAAAACATTTAACGATAAAAAA